CAAGTCTTTGGGGTAAATACCGTAGAGGGATTGCTGGATCACATGGTAGATCAATTCTTAGTTTTTTGAGGAACCTCCATACTGTTTTCCATAGTGACTTTACATGAATTTTTGAGAGCTGACATACCAAAATATGAAAAAGGTAGATTTTCTTTTTTCCCTCTAAAGATATTGACAGGTGATCAGAAATATACAAGCCAGTTAGCCCACAGTTTTAAAGCTTTATCTGCTAGCATTTGGAGGCAATCGCTTGGGTATCATTTTGACTACAGCTTTCTCATAGTTTTTCGTTTTTGTTTTTTAAAGCTCTAACAAAGCCAAATGATCTCTTTCTAGGAATGCAAGAAACAACACCAGGAGGTCATATCAGTTTACAGGATGCATCTTCTATATGCCGTGCAGGTATGGTCACACCCTGCACAGGACCTGGGTATCCTAAAGAAATACTGTAGCGGATGTCGCCCAAACTCCCATCATTAAACCACTAGAACCAATGAGAATTTGAGGAGAATCCTTTACATTGGAAAGCTTTAAAATGTCTTTTGCTTTGCTTTGGATTTTGCTTTGCTTTGCTATTTACTGAGAGCACCTCATCATTTGTTGAGAAATGAAGGGGGATGTGGCTATTGTCCCCCATCAGAAACAGGAGCCCAGGCTTTCTTTTCTAAGCATGTGGATATTCTCAGAGCCATCAGTGCTATGTCACCCCTGTTGGTGGTTTGGCTAGCTAGGCTCACATTTGCAACCAAGACCCCAGAAACCCTTTGTTGGGGGTAGACCCAGCCTCATTATTCCCCAGAGGGAAAAGCAGAGCCCTCTCTTTGACTCAGTTCTTCGTAGAAATGTAGCAGTCTATAGGGCTAACATTCCTTTGGAAGATCGTGGGGAAAGCCAATGGCTTCATCCCAGCCAGCCATCTCATTCCCTCGGGGAGACAGTGCCAGGACTGAACTTAGGTTCTAACGAGTGTGTTTTGTTTGAATTTCCTAGGGCCAAATGGATGAAGATGTTCAGAAAGTACTGAAGCAAATCCTTTCCATGTGTAAAAACCAGTCCCAGAAGAAGTAGAATGGATTCCTTGGCAAGACACTGCCCTTTGTTGTCCATCGTTGTGTTAGATCTGGAGTCGTTGGCAACCACTGCCATTGTTCTCGTCACGGTATGCAGCACGACCTAGCATAGCTTCTTCCCCTTCCAAAGGCTTCTTTCTGAGGACTGGTCCCAGAAGAAGACTGTCTTCTTCAGAACTGCTTAGAGACTTTAAAGCAGCAGAGGTGATCAATGCTGTCATCCCTTCAGATTCCAGAGCTGGGATCAGCCGTGCCCAGGAGTCTGGCTCTGGTGCTAGTGGGTGGGTACCCTCCTCAGTACCTGGCCAGCTGTGTGGCCTCGTCATCACTGACTGATATGTTGACACCTCCGTGTAGTAAATGCTCTTTGGTTCCTACACTCTGGCTGTGCCGTTCAGCACAGGAGGCCTCTTTTTGCCTTTTGGTTTCCAATCCCAAAACATGATTTGACTTCTGACCAAATTGGTACGGCACTAGTTATGCGGTGCATGCTTAAGGCCCTTTATCATGGTATCCTGTGGATTCGGAACTCTAATTCCATCTTTTTTCCCCATCTGCCTTAAATATCTCATCACCCTGCTTGTCAGTCTTCATTTGATGAGCATTATGAACTAAAATATGAAGCTTAAAAGCAAAAGCAAATTGTCCTTAAAAGTTTTTAAGTAAATCATCGACGTATTGCAAATTTTCTATGCAAACTTGCCTCCCGCTATCATCTACGAAGCTCAGGAAATCCAAACATTTGTGTTTCAACAAGGGACAGTAAACTGCATGTTTACAGCCAAAAGAAATGCCTCATAGTTCTTAACCTCAATTTTTTAAAAGTGTTTTTTTTTTCTACAATATTTTTATTGGCTCTTAAAGATGTTTTCATATCTAAACTCTTACATAAGTGAAATTCACATTAGACTATTTTAACAGAATATTTTAGGTAACCATGCTTAAGATTTTTTAAAAATATAACTTTTTCCTCAAAGTTTCCAGCTATAGCAAAAGGTAGTTATATATTCCAAACTCAGTATGAGCTGCCACCAGTACCCCTAGAATTCTGCCATTGTGTCCTCAGAAGTGAGCACATTTCTTAATGTAGTAAATATTCTTTTTTATCCATTGAATCATTTTGAGTGCCCTGGCTCTCTACCAGTTCTCATAGTAAATTATCTCTGGAAGGACTGTTAATACCAACCATTTTTCAAACTAAAAATTTGGAACCAAAAAATCCTGATATGGTAAATATTATGGTGCATAGCAAAGGTCTTGGGGGAAAATATTTCTATTCACTTTCTTTTAGGTTAAAAATGGTTCTGACTTGCTTGCAGCTTCCCTTGCAGCATTGATCTTACTGAGGGATGTAAACAGAATACAGAAATCTCTAAGGTATATAATTGAGTATCAGCCTGCTCTGACAGGGCCCATGTACCACAGGGCTGCCTGGGCTCAGAGGGTGCTTGGCTGTATTGGATGATGTGTTCATCTGTATTGGATGAGGACCAGGGACAGCAAAGCAAAAATGGCTCTCAAGCTTGGTGTTACTTTTCTTAAGCTGTTTATAGTTAAGTAATTTTGAAAATGCTCCAAAGAAATGTGAAAGGACTTTTTGTCACAGCACTTAAGAAAATACAAAACAACCCCTTCCTGCCCCCACACAGAAATGCTGCAGAGTATAAAACTTGAGAAATTTTGTAGGATGCTTGACAAATTGTAGCCTTTTATCTTGTTTCAGGATGCATATTTATTATAAGTACTCCGGTTAAATATTGAAAAGTTATATGCTGTAGTTTAGCATTTTGCCTTTGTAATTTACAGAAGGTATGGCAAAAAAAATAAACTTTTGTTTCATTTTGCATCACTGTTGTTGATTTTTTGGTGCCACTCCCAACCCTTAGTTCAACTTCCCCCAGGCAACAGCTATTAAGTTTCTTGGGTGACCTCAAATAGCCTGTGCCTATGTATTTTACTCTCCCCTTTAAATATAGAAGCATATTTTATATACTCTTCTGGACCATACTTTTCCGCTTAAAATATCTTAGAGATTGTTCTCTGTCAGCATACACATCTCATTATTTTTAAGTGTTACGTAATATTTCATAGTATGATTGTGCTATATTTTACTTAATTAGTTCCTCATCAATAGGCATTTAATCTGTGTCTAGTATTTTACAGCCCTAACAATGATGTGATGACTGTCCCATCTGTAAATGTCTTTATACATATATGTGAGGATTGTTTGGATAATTTTCAAATTTCCCATTCTCACACTAGCTTCCATCATGTGATACAAAAATGCAGAGAAAAAAGTAGAATATTGTAGGCATCATTACGGTGAGAAAGAAAGGCCTTTTCACATTGGTCGAGAGTCATCAATTTGTTTTTCTTACATAAACCTGAGACAGACTCTAAAGCTCTTAATAATTAAATCCACCCACCTTAAGATAAACACATGATATGCCGTGTGGGGAAAATGCTCCCAGAACATGTTGAAGCACAACCTTTTGCAGTGGGGCACAACCGTGGAATGTTGGGTGCTGACAGCAGCAAAAACTATTCATCAGAGATGGGGGTGATGCTTTTTGAGCAAAGTTAACAGGCAGACTGCAGGAAAAAGAGTGAGCTGGAAAAAACAATAGACCCAGGCATTTGCAGAGTAGCAGTTTCTGTTCACCAGCTCAGGGCTGAGAACTGTCAAGCATTATGGGAGTGGATAGTATATTTGTGAAACAAGGGATAAGAGCCCCACCATGATGGGTGCCATAACTGGGCCATAGGAGCTGGTTGAAAGAGCAATCAATGTGGGTTCCAGCAGATGGAAATGCTCCTTGGAGGTGTATATCTCCAAGAAATGGAGATGAGTGAAAGAGAAGAAAAGAGATATTTATGCTCATTTATTATAAATCAGACCCTAAAATGGGAATACCTGTGACTGGATGTACTTGATTATAAATGGAGAATGTGTTGGAAGGAGAAAGGAGCAGAACACAGCCAAATAATGTAAGATTTTAACAGCCAGGAGAAGAGACGGGTAGTAAGGGCTCCCTATGTGTCACCTCCAGATGTTTTTAAACCAATGCATTTAAGTCAGGTTAAACACTCTGGTAGGCAGAATACCAGAACCCCAAGGTCCATGTCCTAATTCCGAGAATCTGTGAATGATTCATGTTATATAGCAAAGGGGAATTAAGTTTGCAGATAGAATCAAGGTTCTTAATCAGTTGGCCTTAAAATAAGATTACTCTGGGTTATGCAGCAGGCCTGATGTAATCATTCCAAAGGGTGTTTCGAAGTGGAAGGAGTCAGTTTTTAAAATGATACACTGCAGGTTCTTAAGATAGGAGAGGAGGCCATGAACCAAGGAATGCAGGTGGAGTGTAGAAGCTGGTAAAGGCAAGAAAACACAGTTCTCCTTTGATTCTCTACAAAGAACTGGCCTCGCTGACACCTTATCTCTAGCCCAGTGACAGCCATTGCAGACTTTCCATCTCCAGAACCATGAGATAATAAACTTGTGTTGTTTTAAGCCACTAAGTTCGTGTTGACTTATTAAAGCAGCAGTAGAAAACTGATATACACACTAAGAGGCTAGCATCTCTGCTAAGGGAGATTAAACGTTACCGAACACTGATAGTAAGCCAGGCGCTGTGCTGAATGCTAAAGGCTCAATGGTGAACACAACGCTCGTGCTCACGAGGCACTCACAGATGATCAAACAGGGCCTGCCACCTAAGAGGCATTTCGGTATTCACTGGGAGGGTGGATGGGTATTTAGATGGATGGATTGCCTCAAGGCCCTGTATGCCTTGCTCTTCTGCATACCTGATGCCCTGCTGACCTATTCTCCTGTCTCCTCATTCTTAATTGCCCTTTTGCTGTTCCTTGAATCCATTAAACTGCTCCTGCCTTAGGGCCTTTGCACTTGCTGTTGACGATGCTCTTCTAGACATTTACATGAATTGCTCCCTTATTTCTCTGAGGTCTCTGTGTTCAATGCCACCCTATCAGAGAGGCTTTCCTTAACTACACCATGTGAGCTAGCACCCCCCTCCCACCACCCCATATCACTTTCTATATTCTTATCTGGCTTTATATTTATCCATATAATTTGTTACTTAATGTAAGGTGGTTCACTCGACTGAGGGGGAGAGAGAGAGCCCTAAAATCCAGCTTACCCCTGTTCCCAAAACTGTATCCCTTAGTAGGGGCCTAAGTCTGACTGAAGGAAGAGGCTTTTTCCTAATTCACATAAGCTGCTGCCTATTCCCTAAAGCATGTGCCTTTTTCTAACTTGCAGATATGTTTTGTATTAGCCCCATGTTTTTCTTCATCTAGTAGAATAAAAGCTCCAGGAGAACAGAATCTTAGTCTATTTGCTCACTATTGCTTCCCGTATGTTTAGAACAGTATCAGGCCCATAGTAGGTATTCAATAGGTATTTGCGGGTAGATGAACAGATGCATGGGGTGTGAGAAACTCACAAGTAAGCAGAGTGCCAATATAGTTGTGAATGTCATGAGATTGTGGAGAGGATACTGTGGGAGCTCAGAAATAAAGCATCTAGCTGTGGGAGGAAGTCGTTAAGATATGCCCACCAGTGTGACCCTTGAGCTGGACTTGGGCAATCGGAGGCTCCTCACCCCGTACTTGGTGCTTTGGAATGTGTGCTCCGCTTGCCTTCCCTGCTCCCAGAAGCTGCTCCAAGGATACAGCCTTGAGATAGAAATGTGGTGATAAGACTATCTGAACTGGGTAAGTGACTAAACCCTGTTAAGGCCTCCTGTGTGTGTTACTGAAACCAGGTAAGACCTCTACATAAACTTTCAACATTTGGTGCGTGGGTGTAGAAATCTACTCATCTCGCAGTTGCCCAAAACAAGCCTCAAAAGTTCCCTTGCTTATTAAATGTGCCACCTACCAACCTGGAGTGGTCTGCCTTTTTCTGTGGTCTCTCCTACCCTCCAAGTATGGGGTCAGTTTCAGATTACACCCAGGAAACCTCAAAAGGAGGTTGCGACCCAACACAAAACGTGTCTTGAGAGGCTAGAAATTGTTTTAAGAAATAACACAGCCTTAAGAGAAAGTTTATTGGGATTTTCATATTTGCTTTGGGTTTGGAAGAGTCTGGAAGTAACCCCCACGCATACTTCCTCTGTGATTTCCACAACAGCAATGTCTGCCTCTTCTTCAGGATTAAGGGAGGGAGTAAGTGAACATGCTACAAAAACGCTGTCTACCCAGATTGCTAGCATTCTGTTCCAGAGTCGGTGAATATACTTAAAGCACATTTACTATAACTAAGGTTTACATTTGGGGACAGGGTGAAGATGGCAAGGAAAGAAACAATATCACAGAGGTTTGACACTCCAGGAGTCTTTGAAGTTCTTTTAATTTGCTTTCTAATTTTTACATATGAGGACAACATACTTCTGGTCAGAGCTAATTAAATGGAAGTGGAATCAGAACATCGCTTTAGGACTGGGAATTCCATGCCTGTCTTGGTACCACACTTCCCTTCACAGTGACAGGCAAAGCAAGTGTTCAGGAAAGAGAAGCTCCATTTAATACACTTAGAAACAGCCTCATAGCCATTTCTCAGAATGATAGAACATTAAAACTGTTCAATTTGATGAAGATCAACTGAACAAGGGGTTAGGGAAATAAGTGTTAGAGAATGGAAAACTATTCTTCCCTTTTTGTCACCATATGTGTAAATTATTGTTCACAGTGTCACAAAAATCTACAGTTTACCCTCACAGAATCTTGGACCTGGGGAAGGTTTTAGCATGCAAGTGGTACAAATACTGTCATTTTACAGGCAAGAAAATTGGGACCCATGGGCTGGAACTTGCCCCAGGCAACCGAGTCAAACCAGAACATTGTTCCATGCTGAGAATTCTCTTTGGAAACAGAGAATAAAGGGCGTGGGCCCTTTCTAAAATTTTGGCTCAGGAACTTGAGGGTACAGATTTAAACTTTAATAGGCCATTCGAGTTTTACTTAAAATATATTTAAGCAACTCATTGAAATAGCTCCTCCAACCTAACTACGAAAAGGCTAGATATCTTGGCAGTCTCGGATCAATAGCAATTAAACTTCAACCTTAGAGCTGTAAAGAACAAACACCAAATGTAAACATAACCTTTCAAGTTCCTAGTAAATATTTTCCTTCTTTCTCATCAGAGCCTGCTCTTTTTTGAAAATGGGTGATACATACCAGCCCCAACTTCACTTGTCATGTGCCCCTACCCCAATTCATGGTAGTGTTCAGGATAACACCCTTAAACACTAGGCTGATGGAGCCGGCGCTGTTCGTTTGAGTATTGACTAGAATTACCCCTGCACCTGTTAGATCTGAGTTATTGTTACCACTGGGTGTGTTTAGGGCCAGTGAAGAGGGATTGTGTAAGAACCCACGGCTGCATAACTTGTGGCTATGTGGTGTTTGCCCAGTGTGACCTCTCCCCTCTAAAATAGTTCCTGAACCATTAGCAGAACTAGTGGTTGGTCCATTTTTTTAAGTTATTAACTTCTTACATTCCCCTTTCCTAACTATGCATAGCTCAAACTTTACCGGGAGAGGCAACTCAGACGGTGCCAACATTGTCAACAGTCTGGGCATTTCCTCCCGGGTCCGGAGAGCCAGAATGCCCGGGAGAACTTTGCGGAGGGGGTGCACGGTGCGCAGAGGGGCGCGCGGGCGCCGCAGGATGTCGCAGGACACAGTCCAACAGGTCGCAGCTTTAAATAGAGTCGTGGAGTCCGGCGCTCCTTTCCATCCTTAGGTGGATTTACCTCCGCTTCCTGCGTCTTATCTGAGAAGTAAAATCCCTTTGAGAAAAAGAATAGTAGACGACTCAGGCGCAGCAGAAAGAAATTGGGAGCCAAGCCTGAGTTCGCGTGCTTCCTGCTTGCGAGGACCGGAGAGCCGAGGGTGCGCTGGGCCGGCGCCGCCTGAGATTCTACGGGTCCGAAAGTACCCCGCGTCGCCATGGCTACAGGCGCCGACGCTTCTGGCTCAGCTCTCAGCGTTCCGTCTCCATGGCAACCTCTTTGTCTCCTAAGCCGGAACATCTGTGGCCGGCGGGAGGGGCAGGCGTCGTAGAGCGTCTCCTTCCGCAAAGCGCCCTTGAACGAGGTCCGCCCAAACCTGGACGCTGACGTCGCGGCAGCAAGCCGAGCTGCCAGGCCCAGGGAGCTAGGAGGCCGGTTCGGGGGCGTGGCTTCCTCCGCCCTCCGCCAGGCACTCAGCGCCACGCTCGCCAGGTTACCCCCGCACCCGCCAGAGTCTTCTGCCTGGAGTCTCTGCGGCGGTACCCGCAGGAAAGGAGGCTTGGGGGACCACGGAGTATGCTCGGGATATGGCGTAAGGGTTTTCAAAGTAACGGCAAAGCAATTGAGGAAAAGAAGGAAGCGACTTGCCCTTGAGAGAGGGACCAAAGTTTGATGTTATAATTCGGAGTCACGTGGAACCTCATCAGTACAGAATTTAGGAGTTTGAGAAGTCAAAACCCCTCTCCCTGGCCATAGTTTTGAAAGTAGAGATTAGCAAGAGAAATTATTGAATCTTCCCTTATGGTTTTTGGATTGTGGGTATTGTGAAGCCTGAGTCAGAATTATTCAAGGCTCAGGTGGGAGTGAGTGACATGCCCCGTGAAATGAACGGCTTGGTGGGTGTTAACGTTCAATAAATAACTGTGCATTCGAGTTGAATTTGATTTAAGCGGTAGGGATAACCACAAGAGTTGAATTTCAAAAATAATTATAAATCAAATATTTTGTCATGAGTTCCAGCCATTTTGGCCATTAGATGGCAACCCAAATAGACACATGTTTTAGCTCCTTAACTAGGATTTCCTATTAAACAGTGGGATGGCCCTACGGACGTGGAGAATTAACCAATACACAGGCCATGTTTCCTTTAGTACCAAGAGCTGGTTGCTTTGATTGGATCCATCTTGCTCTCATACCTGCAAAACCAATATCTGACTTGAATAGGAGACCATAGTTTTGATGATTCAGGAGCTGTAAAGGTGCTGACTTTAAAAGAGGTAAAAAGGGGGTAAGGATTTTGGAAGTAATGGGTAGGTATCAGGAAAGAAATTTAATTTAGAGATTTAATTTGACAAATGTTTTCCATTTCTGCTTTCTAGGGGTCTCCACACAGGAGTATGCGTAGTCTACTTGTGGATTTAGTGTGGGTTATATAAATGGGCAGTTTCGGTTGAATGTTAATAATATTGAACAGAGGGAAAATAGAACAGGTTTCTAAGCCTTTTCTTCCAAAGCTGACTTCACATGTGATTGTTGGTAGGAAGAAGACACCAGCTAGTCCCATCCGAATCCCTACTGTCAGTAGTGATATTGACTGGGACTACTGCTTCCTTGAGTAAGTACCAAAGAACCTGACATCACACTCACTGGCTTGAGACACTGGGATCTCCCACTTAAGGCAAACCCTCTTTGCCAGAAAGTCTCTGGATAGGTTATTTAGAACAGAACGCTGGGTGGATATTAACATGTCATTTTTCAAACCTGGTGTAAAAGATTGCACTTAATTATTTTCCTTTCTGATTTTTTTTTTTTTTTTTTTTTTTTTTTAGTGAACAGTTATTTAATCAGTGGAAAATGAAGATAAATTTTATTTTTAAAACTATGCAGTGGTTGAACCTTTAAAAGCTATTGTGAATACAAAGATGATTCCTTTAGGGGGGTTTAATTATAATTAATTAAAATTTTTGTTGTTGCTCTTAAGATCTCAGAATTCTATTCTGGATCACCAGCAATAGCTTTTTCTGGCAATTTTAGGATATGGTTATCTCTTTTATTGTGTAAGATTAACTCTTTTGATTTTTATCTTTACCATTTCAACTACTCATTCATACTTATTTCCAAAATTGAAGTCAGAGGTTTATGTTGCGTGTGTGTGTGTGTGTGTGTGTGTGTGT